AAAATGTTTTTTCACTTCTAGTTTTCATTATTTTGTTAGTTTTCGTTAACGATAATAACCTTGGTGCTGACATGATAATGGTTCCTGTTTTGTTTGTTTTTTAGCTCCTTCCAAGTAACTCTCCTCTCCAAACTCTTTCTTTAGCTGGTGTCTCTGGGGATAAAGATACTGATGCTGTTACAGGCCCGCACTCTCATCTCGTCCGGAAAGCTCAGCATCGGCAGTCTTGTGTCCTTCTTCTTGTATCAGAAGCCCATGTCAGTCAATTTAAAGGTAAGCCGAATCATTTTTGGTATTTATTAACATGTAGCGCCTGTTTTTGATACTCAACGGGTTATTTATGTCGCAGGAGATTTTGTACTGCTATGGTGAAACGGTGGCCACAGTTGGAGTCATTTCCAAAGTGTTCAGCTACCTGGACAGGACAGCCAAGTGTAAGGAGGAGGGAGATTTAGCTCCCGACAATCTGCAGGGAAGAATTGTTTTCCAAAACGTCACCTTCAAATATCAAGAGAAACTTGCCCTGAAGGTAACAGTTTCCTAGTGTTACAGTGATGGTTGTGTTCGTCCTACAGCGTCACTGTTGGAATGGTGTTAATCATTCATTTGTGAGAGTTGGACAGATTTATAAATGCTGCACTGACGTCTTCTCTCCAGTCAGTGTCGATGGAGCTGCAGCCAGGGAAGATGACGGCGTTGGTGGGTCCCTCCGGCGGTGGAAAGACCACCTGTGTCAGCCTCCTGAAGAGGCTGTATGAGCCCCAGGAGGGTGAGATCCTGCTGGATGGAAAGCCGCTCCACCTTTACAAACACAAATATTTCCATCAAAAGGTAGAGACGGCTCAGCCGGTTTAAATCATTGTACTAAATCAAATAATGTAGGGATGCTCCTGGTACATATGATCTCAGTACTTAATGTGTCTTTAATTGATGCAAACATGTAATCGTATGTTAGATATAGATGCAGTTAATAGTTAAAACAGTGGGTCTAATCTAACATCAACTTCAGATAACAGTCCTTAGTTTCTCAAATGAATGACACAAAGAGGTCGTCAGAGGGTTTCTGTCAAGGCGTTTCTTGCTTGGAAAGCTGTCGTGTCTAGTCTTGTCTTCAGCTCAAACACTCCTCAGAGTTTTGAGGCTGGAAAATTTTTGTTTGACTGGAGCTGCTGGACCAGTTCTGTGGACGAGGGTGTAAGTGTATTTGATTTACTAGTAGGTCTAGATCTTAAAATAGCACGTGGACAGTGAACCTCCTTCTTTCCACACGTACCCCAACAAAACTTTGACTCTCAGGTTTTGTTCTTGTGAGACGCGTCAGCTTATTTGCTTGAATTGTTTAAATGGTGAAACCACATTAATCCTTTCTTCGTGCAGGTAACCCTGGTTTCCCAGAATCCCGTGCTGTTCTCTGGCTCCCTGAGATACAACATTGAATACGGCCTGCAGGATTGCGGCATCGAGAAGGTGAAAGAAACTGCAAATAATGTCAACGCACACGACTTCATCTCTGAAATGGAGAACGAGTACGACACAGGTACAGAGCCATCTGTGGTATTGTGCCTCACCTCAATCCCACGGGACTAGAGACCACTTGGCTAGTGCCTGCCAACCACTGGTTACAGTGGAAAAATGAGCATTACCTGACCAGTTCCGAGTTGTTGCTAAAGCTAATCACAAGCCTAAAGAGCGGTCAGTGAGCCCCTGGTAACCGCTGGCACTGTGAACCTCGAGGAGGTTGCTTGCCTTTTCTATATGACATAATTGTCTGTTGCTCCTTTTGAAATGTGTCATTAATACACAACTTTTATTTTGAAGACAAATGTCCTCAGTTTCCAGGAATGTGGAGTAGAGCAGAAAAGTAATAACAGTAGCTTTTAAAGAGATAAAATTAACATTGAGACGAACTGAGTTCAGCTTATCGGTCCACAGCAGTCTCAGTTTATCATGTGACCCTTTGGGGAAACGAAATCCCACCCCTGAAAGACCAGCACGCTTCTGCGTATTAACTTTGCCCACAGCGGTGAAAATAATCACTGAAATTTGAAGAGTGTTATTAATGAGTACATACCTACAACATGGAGAAATTCAGATTCATGTTGTTTACTTTTGCTTGATTGCCTTTCTTTACATTACTTCTCTATCTACTCATACTGCATATTACAGTGAGATATTTCTCTTATAAGCCCCTTGTGTGTGTGTTTTTTCTTTTCATTACATCAGGAAATAAAAATATATGATAGCTACAGAGGTGATCTAACAAGGAGAAAATGCTCAAGTTAGTTAACAAAATAATCAAGTACAGAGGCACATGTGTAATATAGATCATGATGAGCTGCAGATAGGTTTATGAAGGTTAATATTAACTTTTTCTGACACATGTGAAGTAAGGAAAGTCAGATTTTACAGTTGTAGCCAGGTAAACCACGAGCTATGTTTCAGTAATGATTAACTGTAAAGTTGGTATGGAAAAACCTGAAGCAGGTGCATGTTTTCCACTGTAACCTTGGTCTGTGTTGTTTGTCCTCTCAGATGTAGGAGAAGGTGGGGGTCGTCTTGCAGGAGGACAGAAGCAGTGCATCGCCGTGATCAGAGCTCTGGTTCGAGACCCGCAGGTCATCATTCTGGATGAAGCAACCAGTAAACTGGATGTCGAGGCGCAGCATTCAGTACGTATATAAAACTAAAGCTCAGAAACTTCCATACGACCCTCAGCTTTCCTCACGGTGACCAAACAAGGAAATCCTGCATGCAAGAAGCGTTAATGGGTTTTCTCTGTGTGTGGGTGTGAGTCAAGCAGCTGCTCTTATACATCTGGCGATGAGAAAGTTTGGGCAGTGGGCCAATAACACAAAAAGAAAAAGCAAACCTCTCCTGATTTAGATTTGGCTGGTCTCCTGTTCCTCTCAGGCAAGTCTGGACCGCTTCCATCGTGATTTTTAATCTCTTTGATGAAGTGCACCTGAACTTGTACCTCTAGTATGTGTCAAAATGGAGATCCTTCAAAGTTATTTTGTTTTGGAAGTGGACAAAGTCACGGGGTTGCAAATCCATTAATCCACACAGATGTGAGTATGTTCCTCCCAGATGACTCAGGACAGTCTCACCCTGGTCTCGCTCATCACCCGATCCACTGCCTTCAGGTTTGGAAACTTGTCAGCTCGTTTGGTGTTTGCTCTGTAGGTGTGAGGTTTGTTAAGAAATGACAGAGCTCATAGTGCACGTGGTCAAAATAGGGGTTACAGGAAGTGATGTAAACATAAACTTGGGGCTGTGCTCAAAGCATCTCTCCTGACCTGCAGGAGAAGATGAGCGAGCCACATTTAAAATGAGACAGTTTTCTAATTTTATGGGCCTGTTGCTGGAACTTGAATGAACAGAGCTCTGGCTGTGAGTGCAGAAGCCCCGCCCATCTGTTTTTGAGTGGCAACCAATCAGATGAAGGGGCTAAAATTGTAACTATAAATTAGAATAGAAATAACACAGAAGCTTAAAGCAGCAACATCCCCAGTCTTGACATGGAAAACAATAGCCTAAAGATATCTCTGCACACCTGAATCAGAGGCAGGTCGAAGGGAAACCTAAAGCTTTTTGGAATTTTTAGGGTTTTATGAGTTTAGTATTATTGTAAAGTTGATTTTTTTTTTTTTTAAGACTAACCAGTTAATCCAGAAAGTATTTAGCTGATAAACTGATAATAAACACAACCACTACCTGCAGCCAAAGAGGGGAAGAGGTCCACAAAAGAATTGTGTTTGTGAAGTGGCCTCATATTTCTGTGTTTAGGTGCTGAAGGAGATTTTTGCTCGTGGCCGGACGGTGCTGGTCGTGGCTCATCAGCTGAAGACTGTGGAGCAGGCCGATCACATCATCTTCTTGGAGAACGGCGAGGTCGTAGAGGAGGGGACGCACAGTGAGCTGATGGACAAAAAAGGGCGTTACTATCGTCTGAAGGAGGAGCTGTTCTCTCAGGACAGCCAATGACCTGCTCGTGCTTTTGTCGCACAAATACTTTCGTTTCTAGACAAAGAAGAAGTGATGTTGTTTACCTGTTTGTATCATGAGAAATGAACTGTTCATCATCAAAAACTTCAAATGGCAGAAGTGTTACTGCAATGTTTGGTCGGTCAGAGGAGCTCAAATCGTCCATCCTCATTTATTTATCTGGGAGGAAACGTTTGAAGTGGAGAGAATATTATAATCATGACCTTTAGCTACCATGAGTAACTACATTTCGAGAGTATAGTTCATATATGCAATTTATTGGCAGTATTAGAGGACAAATGTGGGGTTTTCTGCCAGTAAACAATGTAAATAAATATGAATATGACTCCACATGGCAGCAGAACGGTCATGAAATAAAGTGACTCAGATTTAGAGGTCGTCCTCTAAAACGAAGTGTTTTCTGATTCTGTCGTCTCTTTATTTGCTTTAAAATGATGGAGGGCTTCAGTGTTGGTGTGCTCTGAATGTCAAGGACTGTTTTTCTCACTGCGTTTTGTGCTCCATGTGTTAAAGCTTTGTTGTGAATCACATGTTAAACTCCTTAAAGAAGCCCTCGCTCTAACAGAAGCTCCTGTTAAGGTGAGACTTTGTCACTGACATTCGTCACTCCTCCTGTCAGAGTTCTCATCACCGGTGGTTTCCACCATGAATCATGGTGTCTTTTCCTGAAACTC